TTTCTCATAATGTATGCATGAAAGGGTTAATCAAAGGATCAGACACATTGTGATAAAACACAAAGTTGTGCTCAGTGGCTCTTTGCTGTCAGGAAGGATGCATTTTGGCTGCCTTCTGTTTCTATGCTTAAACAAGCTATTCTGTTGAAATAAAGACGTCATTATTGATGAACTTTTGATCAGCTGAAAAAAATCATGTTTGAGTGTAAATGCAGTTTTCAGAAAATTCCCCACTCAAAAGTTTTTGTCTCTTACGCTGATTTCTTATTTTAACATTGTGAAGCTCTACTTTGAATCTTCTTTAGATCCAATAGTGCAAAATGCTAATTCTTGCAATTTTTTGACTGGTCTTAAGATTTTGATCAGGAGTGTATCTGTAATGCTATTAAAAATAGATTTGGATCCTCCATCTATTATAGTAACAGGATTGAAATAAAAAAATTTTTTGGTTAAAAACTTTGTACAAAAAAAAAATCACCTTAGATTGACCGATTCAAAATGTAGAATAGTTACATATATAATCAGTTTCAGTTTTAAAACATACATAAAAACAATTTTTTCTGGACACCTACTACAAGTAAATGGCGCCCGTGGGGTGGAAAGACTTATCTTCAGAAAGTTTGAGTGTCTTTAAACAGGTTTCAGAGAGACACACAGAGCAGATCTTCAAAGAAGATGCAAAGTGACAGAGTGTGTAACCTTTGACAGTTGCCTTTTGTATCTATGCTTCTTTTTCTATGTCTGCTTCTGTCTCCTTGAACCCCAGTGGGCCTCAGCAGATGGCCGCTCACACTGAGCCTGGTTCTGCTCGAGGTTTCTTCCTGTTTAAAGGGAGTTTTTCCTCTCCACTGTCGCTACAAGCATGCTTAGTGTGAGGGATTGCTGAAGAGTCAATGAGTCGATGCAATCAGCTGGTTTTCCTTAGATAGAAAACTTTGAATCAATCTGACTGGATGATCTGGTGAACTAGAAAGTGACCTGAGATGACATGATGTGAATTGGAGCTATAGAAATAAACTGAATTGAATTAAACCTATTTTTATGCAGATCATATTTTAATGACCAAAGCACACAGATTCCTGGGTGGTGGAAATGCAGATGTAAAAAATTACCACATGCAAAGCAAATGTTTCCAAACTGGAAGCTAAACTGCAGCTGCGGTTTTAGCTTATTTTTTGTACTTCGAAAAGTCCGGTGCAAACTGAAAGGCGACGCATCTGTGGTCATTGCTGCTATAAATCGCATCGCAGATATTTGGACCATCAGAAATAACAATATTTGATTAATAAATAAAAACTGTCTAAACAGGCTGGAACAATTTAATGCAGCAGGATGGCAGAAAATCTTTTAACAATTAAGCCAAATAAATAAAGCAAAATAATAATAAAAAAGCTGACAAAGCATTGTGCATCTCTCTCATCTGAAAAATATTCCTCAATCACTTTCTGTCATACAAATACAGATTATTGTATTTTCAATTCATAGTTTGGGAGCTGGACTTTAATTTACATTCACACTGATTTAATAGCAGGCCTAAACCCCTCAGGGCTTCAGGGTTAAATATAAAGGCTGGTGGTTTAATCAGCCATCAAGATCAGAATGCATATGCTGACTCATGCCTGCAGGGTCCGCGGTCCAATGCTGGCTGCACAGCAGAGGGTGAATGTGTGGGAAGACTTCATAGACCAACATTCAGACTTCATGCATGCGTTAATATGGACGGAAAAACAGCACTTAATAATAACACCTTTATTGAATTTATGAGGGTTTTTTCTGGTACTGTTAATCTTATATTACATATTTTGTTTTATAAAAGAAAGAAATCAACTTTTAAATCCTTTCCCCAGACCAAGATCAGAAATGTTCTCATAAAAGATGCTTCTGTCAGAATTTACAGGGAAAAATGTGACTGATGAGAGGAGGATGGGAAACTTAACAGTTGTGAACAAATTGTAATTTATAAGAAACAAATGAGAAATAATTAAAAACCGGCAGAGAATAAAACACAGAAGAGCTGCTGGTCAGTGTGTGTGTGTTTTTTTTAACATTAATTATTGCAAGACTTAGTTTCTCTGTTGCTCAACTTTATGGAAAAATGATAAATTCTCATGTGCTTGTAAATTAGCAGCGGTTCCTTTTGGTAGCACATTAATCATTTCATCTTTTAAATGATTTAATCTTTTTTTTAATAAATGTAATCTTGCACATTTCTGGACATAAAACAAGTAGCAGAGGCAGTAGCTTTAGTTTAGTTTGCAGCCACAGGAGCAGGAAATTGTGTGGAAAGATGATCAGGGGGCTCTTATTATTTCCCTGGAACATTAGTTAGTGACAAACATCTGCATCTATTTAATGCTTTTCTTCCTTCTTTGAAACAACATCCTTGTGAAGGAGATGTTCATCGGGTAAAAAAAGAAAACGTACCCAACTGTATCAGATTATTTATACCCACCCCAAAGCAGGGAACATTTCAATGATAAAAGCAAAATATTTGGTGTGTTTTCAACATTCAGCTCACTTTAACCCCTTGAACCCTACGGACCCACCGGCGGGTCCAGCTGCTACATGACCTCGTAACTTTACCAAACCCCCAGTATTGATGTAAAAAACATATTTGGCACAGTTTGGTGACATTTATGGATAAATGTGCCAAAATGGCCTCTCCGCCTAAGAAATTTCTCACTAATACCATTCTAAAATAAATATGATTCATCTGATTGAGTCCACATTTTGTATATTTTTACACAACATTTAGATTTAAAAGTCTGTACTACTTTTTTGTGCTATAAATAATATTTTGGTAGTGTTTTGCATTGTTTATTTCAAAGAAATTTTTGGCGAGGTTCAAAAAATGCAAAATATTTTGTATTTTGTCCCTAATATTTCAGGCAGGGTCAAAGCTACAATGGTGCTGACACCAGAAAACCGTTCTATGACATCTTACCTTTACAGACGTACCAAAAGTTTCTTCTTAAATCTAATAGCTTTGAGGCTATAAGTTATTTACTTTTGTGTGTTTTTGTCAGGCAGAAATTTATTTATACCCCCTTAGGGTGTAAGAGGTTAATTTTAGACCCTTGAGTAGAAATAGGTGCAGCAGATTGGTAATGGAGCTTCAAAGTGTGTTATTTCATCTCAGTACATATCCAGCAGGTCTCTGAAGGTCTGTTAGTGTCACGATTGAATTGAGGTTTTTGGGGACCAGAGATCAGGAGGCAGAGGTGAGGCTTCTAGATTTAATGCGGCAAAAATCAAAATAGAAAAATACAAAGAACCAAAAAATCAGCCAACGTCAGGGAAAAACCCCTGTGGAGAGCCAGAGATGAGGAAGCAACAAACCAACAAACCAGCACTGAGTGACTGCAGAGATGGTGTATATACGGGGAGACTGAACAAATACCAGGCTAATCAGCAGATTGGGAGCAGGTGTGAGCAAGACTGACTAGAAGGAAGTCAATGGGAAAGGAAACAAGCACAAGGAGGCAACAGAGAGAAACTAAAGGACTCACCACTGGTAGAAAACAACTACAAAGAAACTAAAAAATAAACTCAAGCAGAGGGAGAACCGTGACAGTTAGAGATCATCCTGAAGGACCACAGCAGGAAGCTATGATGAAGCAGGGTTTTAAAATGGTGTTCTGAGCTGCAAACCTCACAGAACAGAATTTGGAAGAACTAAAACTCTGGAGGAGCTGCAGGCAGCCGAAGCTCGGGAGGGAAGTTCTGTAAACAGAACGAGGATAAAAGGAGACCTTGAATAAGAAAGTCATTTTAGAAAAATAAAAGAATCCCTGTTTGCTGAAACCCATGTAGGAGTAACAGTTAACCGTGGATCTATCCATAATGGGATCAAAATGCTTCTCTTCGGCTCATTTAGAAGAAGAAGGCTTTTCAAAGTCGAAATCTTAAATACATTTGAGACTTCTGTCTCGATAATTGGCATTCACAGAAACCCACTCTGACTAAAGCTAACTAACGCACATTTATCAGTGTTCCCACACTTAACAGCATGTGGTGCATTATAAGCATCATACGCTCACTGTGGCCACCTAGTGGTCAATAAATAGAACAGGAACAGAAACATCTTGTATAGTTGTCAGTGGAAGCATTTTTTCCTCGGCTTAATCGGGGTGAAAGGAAGGCTAGGAGTGATAAAAGATAAGTGATTAAAGTTTCCCCATCCTTCTTCGTGCCGTGAAACGAGGACGCCTGTTCTGACATGTTTATCTGGCTAATGAAAGATATATTAAACTAACAGGGAATGTCCTTGATGAACTGAAGTTGTTTTCCTCTAAATGTTCTTGTGTGAGAAAGTTCTTTATGCAGGGGGTGGGATGGTCCCAAGGCAGAGTGTGTTGGGATTTGTACAATATAAATGTGTGTGCTGGGTTTGCCCCAGTCTGAGCTTTTCTCTTCGTCTAAGAACGTAAAATAAATTTGAACTTTCTCTTGCAAGAGTCTCGGTTTCTCCACAACTTCACACGTCAAATGGATGAAATAATGGGATAAATTAATAATTTAAACACAGATTGTGGTTAATTTCACCATGCATGTAAAAGGAAGTATTTGTAAAAAAAATATTGTGATAAAAGTAGAGATGTTATAGCCTGCAGTGCTTTTCTAACACGTTTGATGAACAAAAAGTGCTTCCTAACAGGTGAAAATTACTCTCCTTAACATCTCCAATGTTAAAAATATGAGTTGATGTTCACAGTAAAGAAATTCTACTCCAAAACTTCAACACTCTTCAAATACGGAGAAAAAAACAGTTTATATGCAGCTGTCTTCATCAAGCCATGAATCCTGAACTAAACATCTGTGAGAACTACATGGAATTAGTATAAACTGTCATAGGCTAGTGTTTCACATCCAGCTTTATTAAAAGGTGATTTGTGCTAAATGTGAAGATGTTCTGGGGGTAAAGATGCCTCTACAGGGCACTGCATACAAGCTGAAACTTAAGAGCAAAGGTTGAAGAATGGAGATTGGTGCGCACTAACCGATATCCCAGGAGCCCCGGCTTTCGATCTCATTGTGACCAATGTAGTACCAGACACAGGCCATCCAGTGGGCCAGCAGCGCAAACATGGACATGAGCAGAGTCAGAACCACGGCGCTGTACTGCGAGTAGCGCTCCAACTTCTGCAGGAGCCGCAGCAACCGAAGCAGTCGGACAGTCTTCAACAGGTGGACCCTGGAGTTCTGCACACAGGGACACGTGACAACAGCTCACAGGAACAAACACAAGTCCTTAATAACAGTTAATACCACATTCACTCACCAGATGGATATATAATATATTGATGACAAAATAATCTAACATGTTTCAGCTTCCATGAGACCTGGACAATGAGTGGTTAATCTTTTAACTGAGCTGATTTAGCCAACGATTAATCACCTTCTGTTAATGGACGGCTAATTGGACGTATTAGGGCCAGGCTAGAGAAGCTTTTTTCCTAGTACAAGAATAGAGTCATAAAATTACGAGAATAAAGTTGTAACATTACGAGAATAAAGTCGTAAAGTTGTGAGAATAAAGTCATAAAATTAGGAGAATAAAGTTGTAAAAATGAGGAGAATAAAGTTGTAAAATTACGAGAATAAAGTGGTTAAATTAGAAGAATAAAGTAGTAACATTACGAGAATAAAGTCGTAAAATTAGGAGAATAAAGTCATAAAATTAGGAGAATAAAGTTGTAAAAATGAGGAGAATAAAGTTGTAAAATTACGAGAATAAAGTGGTTAAATTAGAAGAATAAAGTAGTAACATTACGAGAATAAAGTCGTAAAATTAGGAGAATAAAGTCGTAAAATTAGGAGAATTAATTCTTAATATTACGAGAATAAAGTCGTAAAATTGTGAGAAAAAAGTCGTAAAATTACGAGAATAAAGTTGTACCATTACGAGAATAAAGTCGTAACATTATGAGAATTAAGTCTTAACATTACGAGAATAAAGTCATAAAATTGTGAGAATAAAGTAGTTAAAATAGGAGAATAAAGTCGTAAAATTAGGACAATAAAGTCGTAACATTACAAGAATAAAGTCGTAACCTTATGAGAATTAAGTCTTAACATTACGAGAATAAAGTCGTAAAATTGTGACAATAAAGTTGTAAAATTAGGAGAATAAAGTCGTAAAATTAGGACAATAAAGTCGTAACATTACAAGAATAAAGTCGTAACTTTATGAGAATTAATTCTTAACATTACGAGAATAAAGTCGTAAAATTGTGAGAATAAATTCGTAAAATTATGAGAATAAAGTCGTACCATTACAAGAATAAAGTCGTAACATTATGAGAATAAAGTCGTAACATTACGAGAATAAAGTCGTAACCTTATGAGAATTAAGTCTTAACATTACGAGAATAAAGTCGTAACCTTATGAGAATTAAGTCTTAACATTACGAGAATAAAGTCGTAAAATTGTGAGAATAAAGTCGTAAAATTACGAGAATAAAGTCGTACCATTACAAGAATAAAGTCGTAACTTTATGAGAACAAAGTGGTAAAATTAGGAGAATAAAGTCGTAAAATTACGAGAATAAAGTCATACCATTACGAGAATAAAGTCGTAACAATACAAGTATAAAGTTGTAAAATTGTGAGAATAAAGTCGTAACATTATGAGAAAAAAGTAAAAAAGTTACGAGAATAAAGTCGTAATATTAAGAGAGTTAAGTCCTAAAATTATAAAAAACAAGCCCTTTTTTCCCTAAAATGAGGAATGTGGAGCATCATGTGAAGTTCTACTTTAGCATCAGTTTGACAAATCAGGAAATCTTTTAGCAGCAGCATCAAACTGGGCAGGATGTCAAAGTGGACTCTGGTTGCTGATTGGTGGAGCTGGTCGGCCGTCATCTGCTGGGCGGAGCTCCAAGCTTTCTTTCTGAAACAGGTTGTTGTATGATGACTTCATTCTCGTAATATTCCAAATTTATTCTCAAAATAAAAAAATCTCTATCCGGGCCCTAATACTCTGTCGTTTAAACGAACTGCAGAGGAAATGCAAATGAGTGAAGGTGGAGAAGGGGACTCACCACGCTGATGTTGAAAGCGTAAAGCAGGTCAAAGGGCAGGGCAGCAACCAGGTCAACAAACAGCCAGGTGGTGACGTAGTGAACACAGATGGAGCGGGCGTCATAGACCACCTGACCCGATGTGCTCACAAAGGTTGTACGGAAATTCAGCAAGATGTCTGAGGATAAAAAACAGAAAAGATGTGCTGTTAAAAAAATATAAACAAGAGAAGTTCTTAATATTAAAGAAGCTGTACTGGTTAAAAAATGATAAAAAAAAAGATAATGTTAGAAAAGTTTCTAATCATAATCAAAATGACAGGAGTGGTTCTTTTTTTAAACTCTCATGATGAAGTAGTGCTGAGCAGCGTTCATAAGGGTGTCATTAAGAGTTGCTCTGTATGGGACTGCATTTCCTTTTGTAGTTTTATTCAGGGATAAAATTTCCCCTCCAGGATGAGAGCTTAGTGATATCTGTATGTTTTAGAGCCCCCAGATGGTGATGAGCTGTTATCTTGGGGAGGGCTTTTAATTCAGAGTAATTTTCATGTGAATATGCTTTACTGGAGGCATCCATGTTTGTCAAAGAACTCTACTGCCACCTACTGGTTAGTGACGTCACGGTGCAGTATCGGCTGTTGATCAAGTCCCAGTGCTGTATCTGGTGTGTCACAACGCGCTATTATCCAAGTCATCTTGAAAACATTCTTCTTCCAAATGTTGGCTACATATTAGTTTAAGAATGCACCAGTTTATACATTATACAGTAGCAGCCTTTCAAATGGGCCCTTCTCAGTCAAACTCCACCCTTTCACTGAATTACAGGGTCTGACCAGGAGGTGGCGCTTCTCTTTAGATCTTAATGTCCAAGAATCATGACAGAAAGAATATTTTAGTACAAAGATTGATTTCCAAATTTGAAGACATTTTGCTTCCCATCCAGGAAGCTTTTCCTATTAAAATGTCAGGACAGATGACATAAATTCAAGTCCAGTGGATTCTTTTTTTTTTTTTACTTTTTTAGATGACCTGGATGACTGGGAATCTTCACCAGCATACAAATATTGATGTTTAAAAAGGAACTGTAGTAATAATGACAATGTGATTGAGCCCTGATTTGGATGTTTTCTGCTATTTAAAGATTCAAAGATTGAGTCCAATGATTCTTCAAAGTACATCTCTCTGCATAAAGTCTGTTTAGTGGCGTATAATCACATTTACCTGAGAATAAAGAGGAAGCGGTTGAGGAGGTCACTCTGATGTCCTTTTAGTTCAGCTACTTTTAAAGTCATTGGTCTCCAGGATGAAATCCCTTTTGTTCCAAATAAAACCTGAATCATTATGGTGAAACAACTTCAGCATGTTGCTTCTGGTTTTTATGGGTCAATAAATATTGATCAACTAACTTGGACTATTTCTCCTGACAAAGGGAGCACTGGCAGACAGCGGTGACACACCCTGCAAAACGATCTAGAAATAAGTAAAAATGTCTCAGATAAAGGGTTTTTCCCTTAATTTGAGTAGGTAAATAAGATGATTTGCCAATTCTTAGTATTATTAGTCTCAAATTAAGATAATTAGATCATATGCACTTGAAATAAGACAATGCTATCATTTTTTTCTTGTCTTGTTACTTTCGCTAAGTGTCTCAATTACCTTCTGAATTCAAGAAAAGATGCACTTATTTTAAGAAAAATAAATACTTATTTAGATTACCATTTTTTATAGTGCATCTCGCTGCAGACAGTTTCATTGCTGAACTTTCATGACGAAACTTTTTCAAATAGTTTTTATGATTTTCTCCAATAAAATGAACCGTCATCCTGAAGAGATCCCATGAAAACAGTCCTGTAGTTTGACAGACAGGAACAATGGAGGCGTGTTGATTCGCTGGAAACGAGTCGGCAGTTAGAAGTAATGGCCTGATGTTTATGGTTCATATGCTTTTACTGTATCATGCATCATTAAAAACTTTTACAGATTTTGTAGAATGAAGATCGTGTGCTGACCTCCAGCTGGCCGCCGGCTAATTCTGAAAGAGTTTGGACTATGCGCTGTGAACCCTAATGGTTCACAGCGCATCCTGTAAATGTTTCCAACCCTTAATAATGTTCATGGAATTAGTCAGTGAAAAATGAAAAATTAGCTTTACTTTAATCGACTTTCCTTTCATTTATCAGGAGTCTTTATCCTGGATACTATGCCATACAGAATATTCCAGCACTACAGTCACTGCAGTTTCATCTGTCTGAATGCTCTTTAAGTTCATTTTTGCAGTCACTGGGTGAGGCCATCTGCCAAAATATTTCAATGTTTATAAATCTAACTTGCTTCTTGACTGCAGCTACAAAATAGGCCAGAAGTGGATGTTTATTAAAGGAGTTTAGAAAGATAGGAGGTAGGTGGAGGTAAAGCGTTAACAGCTCAATCCTTGTGGGGAGAAATTCAGTCCGGATAGATGTTTCTCCTTGGCTCCACCTTGGCTCTACCTTTCCTATACCTCATCCAAAATATTCAGGTTATCCTGAGCTACTTTCTGCATTTGTGCTGCTATAGACTTAGACTGCTGGAGGACATAAGCCCCTTTTACACTGTTGCGGCGAACGCCCCCTTTTGTTTACATCAGTGTTTAAGCGTGAGCGCGCAGTTTACCTGCGTGCAATCAATCAGTCAATCAAAAGGTGAGACAAACTTCCTAGTTCAAGCAGAGGATCGCAGCATGAAAATAAAAAGCCCCCGTTTACTCGGGCAGTGGAAGAAGCTGTGCAAAATGTGTATTAAGGAAGCAAAGGACTGAACAGACAGCCGGTAAGCTTGCATTTAATTCTGTTGTGAAAAGAATGTATGCGCCGCGCTGATGAGGCGTTGAGACGTGCGGGAAATGTTTGTTTGTAGTGTTAAGCTTATAAATACTCACACGATGCGTCATGAAAATTTTGGCTTGTAAGTCTTGCTTGCTTGCTTTATTTGGTTGGAGAAATGCTGATGTAACTTGTTGTCAGTGATTTAACGTTGAGGTTGAACAATCCAAATTAATGTGTTTGTTAAACTGTTGCACGGGGTAATTTTTGTATCTGTCTTCTGTGTGTGATTAAAATAGACTTCTAACAGTTAAAATGAAATTTCATAGTCTATGTTATGCATATTTAAAACAAACAAAAAATCACTCACTGGTTATTTGTTATTGCTATTTAAGAATCCATGTAACTATGGGGTTAAATAACCTGCATAAATCTGCTTCTGTTAAAATGCTTTAATACGTTTTTGATGCATTTTTTTATGGTAATTAAAAACTAAATGGTCTTAATTTAAAGTTAAAAACAGTCTATTTTCATAAATATATTTAATGATGCATTTCTCAGAACTATTACAATTTGCTATATGGTAAATGCTTTGTTTGGTTTCATTTCTTTCAAAGGTTTTTCACCTGCTTAATTAAATGATTCTGTAAACCTGTAACAACACAAGAAGAAGAATAAAAAAGGAAAAAATGAAACAACAGTTTGGTCATTGAGTGGAATCCAGTTTAATGTTCAGCTTAATACAACCCTTCAAGTGTGGGAATAGCACAGCAAAGATCAAATCACTTGACATACACTACCCTCTGAAAACCTGGAGGAAACAGATTGATCAGGAATCAATCTGTTTAGTGGCGTATAATCCCATTTACCTGAGAATAAAGAGGAAGCGGTTGAGGAGGTCACTCTGATGTCCTTTTAGTTCAGCTACTTTTAAAGTCATTGGTCTCCAGGATGAAATCCCTTTTGTTCCAAATAAAACCTGAATCATTATGGTGAAACAACTTCAGCATGTTGCTTCTGGTTTTTATGGGTCAATAAATATTGATCAACTAACTTGGACTATTTCTCCTGACAAAGGGAGCACTGGCAGACAGCGGTGACACACCCTGCAAAACGATCTAGAAATAAGTAAAAATGTCTCAGATAAAGGGTTTTTCCCTTAATTTGAGTATGTAAATAAGATGATTTGCAGTTTGGTCATTGAGTGGAATCCAGTTTAATGTTCAGCTTAATACAACCCTTCAAGTGTGGGAATAGCACAGCAAAGATCAAATCACTTGACATACACTACCCTCTGAAAACCTGTCCGTGCCGAGCTCGGTTCCTTACGACCATCTATGGTACTACTGCTCTCTAGAGGTATACAAGCAAACCAACATGGCGGCACCCGTAACATTCAATAAGTTATGTTTTGTTATCATTGGGATATTTTGTTGTTTGCAGAGAGTCAGGCAGAAGAGGGAAGCCTTTGGTGAATTTACTTGACAGAGTCGGCTTTTGGGAAGTGGATACGACAAACGATAGGGCTTCCAGACGCAGGAAACAATGACAGACGTTGAGGTTCATCACAGCTAAGCAGAATCATCACTGGAAATCGTGTGTCACAGTAGGGATTACTGAGGCTGACTGTAAGGAGATGATGTGGTCTGCTCAGGTGCCAGATCTGAACTGTGCCGAGCCCTACTGATTAACTAGAACCATGTTAGCACGGTTTGGGTGTGTCTGGCACGGTCCGTTTCAGTTGTGCGTGCCATTTACACTCAACATTAATCTCTGTTACCGTGCTAGGTCTGATCTCAGCAAAGTTTCAAAATGGCAGTGGAAATGGGGCTATAGGGACCCCTTTTTCATCATTCTGCTTCATTCTATCTCTATAGTTCTGCTGCTATAGGCTTAGACTGCTGGAGGACATAGGGACCCCTTTTTCATCATTCTGCTTCATTCTATCTCTATTCTCCCACTCTGCAGAATCTGTTAGTTCAATCTCTAACGTTCTGCTCTCTCTGCTTTTTCTCATAGTAGCTTCATCTGATCTGTTCCTGTTTGGCTGTGACTCCATCCTGGAGAGAAATATCAGCATCTGCCGTGTTTTTTAAGTGTTTAATCCTGTTACTCGTATGTTCCTTTTTCTTTGTCTGCTTCTTGTCTTGAACCCCAGTCAGCACAGACATACTGTAGCTTGTATGTGATCTTAACAGGGTTTTTTTCTCTTTTTTTGGATGCTTTAAAAAAAAATCTCTTTACACTAAAATGCAACTTTTATAAATGTTAGAGACAGCAGAAGAATTTCACACCCTGATCGTAAACAAGACCAGAGATTGAATAACCCATGACCGTTTGTTCTTACCTAAAATGAAAAGGATCTCCACTAGGATGTCGCTGACACTAGGTGGACTCCGTGAGGTGCCTTCGTCCCGTCCTCCACCAACGGTGAAGCAGACGTTGTAGGGAACAGTGACGGCCACGTAGAAGGTGGCCAGCAGAATTAACCAGTCCCAGCCAGCTTTGAAGGTGCCGTAGTGGAGCAGGATGAAGCGGGACTTCTGGATGGCTGCTACTTTGTACTCTGGGATCGGAGGTTTCTGCCCAAACATGTTCTGGTGTGGATAAAAGGAAGATGTAAGTCAACACCATAATCATTTAATGCGGAGGTCTTCAACAGGGGGTCTGTGACCCCTAGGGGGTCCACTGAGGTACTGCATGGGGGTCGCGAAAATTTTGGTTGATGAGACTTTTTTTTATATTCCCCCTGGCAATTTTTTCCACTAATTGAAATGTCTTTAAATCCACATTAAAATTAATCCAACAGATTGTAGTAAACAGATAAATGGAGGCAGAAGATGTCTTTCAGTCATCAATGCACACATTCAGCGACACACAGGAGCTCTTTCAAGCTGGGCACCGTTTCATTCACAACACCTGTCCCATCAACCAGGAATCAGAAATACTTTAATAATCCCAGGGAGGGATTACTTTAGTTACATTACTCCATCGGGAATAGAGTGACTATAGAACCAGTTTAATATAACACTATTTCATACAATATATATATAATTAGGGGGTCCCCGCTCCATCTCACCACACTGGGAAAAATCTAAATCTGAATAAGTGGGCCTCAGCAGATGGCCGCTCACACTGAGCCTGGTTCTGCTGGAGGTTTCTTCCTGTTCAAAGGGAGTTTTTCCTCTCCACTGTCGCTACAAGCATGCTTAGTGTGAGGGATTGCTGAAGAGTCAATGAGTCGATGCAATCAACTGGTTTTCCTTAGATAGAAAACTTTGTATCGATTTGACTGTATGATCTGGTTGACCTGTAAAGTGCCTTGAGATGACATGTGTTGTGAATTTGGCGCTATATAAATAAACTGAATTGAAAATTGAATTGAAATAAGTCATTTTTTCCTAAAATAAGTGCATTTGTTCTTGGATTAAAGAGGTAAAAGAGACATTTTGCCAATGGAACACGACAATTTACACTAAAAATAAGAAAACACACCTGCATTGTCTAATTTCAAGTAGATATTATCTAATTATCTTATTTTAAGACTAAAAATACTCATTCCATTGGCAAACTATCTAATTTACCTCCTCAAATTAAGGGTAAATACACCTAATTTAAGACATTTTTATTCATTTCTAGATCGTTTTTCAAGTGCATCAGTTTGGGGTCCTTGGCCTGGAAAACATTGAACACCCCTGATTTAAGAGCTCTGTTTTCCTCTTTAACTCTCTTTTCAGCAGCTGTATTTATACAAGTAAGTGGAAAATAACTGAGCAGCCAAAAAACACCATTTGAAAAGGAAGAAAAAAAGCCAAAGTTCTTTGGATATAGCTTCTGTTGGTTGTTGTTGGATGTTTTCAACTACATTCTAACCCTCATTACCCATAAAAAGAAATGTAACCTCCTCTGTGCAGGTGAAGATTCTCAGTAATCCAGATTATAGTCATTCTACAAAAGTAAAAAAGTAAAAAAATACAAACCACTAGACTTTATTTTCCAATCAAAGCGTCTTCAAATTTAGAAAAAGTCCAGTGGTTTATTTTTTTAACCTTTTTAACTTTTTTTGCAGTAACCTCCTCTGATTTTCACACTCTAAAAGAGAATAGAAAAAAAGGAACAAAAAAATATACTTTGCTCATATTCTTAAAAGAATTATGAGAAATGCAAAAAGCTCAGATTGTGAGATAATCCAAAAAGTTAACAACAAAACCCTAATAATGATGAATGGTTTAGTTTAGTTTAGTTTATTTAGGATCCCCATTAGCTGTAGCAAGCTACAGCTATTCTTCCTGGGGTCCAACAACAAAACATGAAATAAAAACAATTACAAATTAAATAAAATTATGTGGACATTAAAACAACATCTCCCATAATCTATACATATACATATATACATACACACATATACACATACATATACATACCCATATACATAAACAGAAACAATCCAAACTAATCAAAACAAACTACAAAGCACAGCAAGTGAAGAAGACAGTCCTAATCGTGTTTTACCTCTATATTTAATAAATGTTCTTTCAATGATTTTTTAAATTTCCTTAAATCAGTTATCAGTTTAATGTAATTCGGCAGTAAATTCCATGCTTTCATACCTCTATACATAACAGTTCTTTTTAAGGCATTTGACTTTACTTTAGGCAAACTAAAGTTTCCTTCAGTCGCATGCCTAGTCCTGTATTCGTGATTCTCTGAACTAAAAGTAAGGTTTGTAAATAACATATAAGGTGTTTTTAATACAGATATGTTTCTAATCATAACAGTCAATGAGTATGAAAGTCTGTCTTTAACCAACAACCAGTTTAACTTTTTATGCATTGTTATGATATTTGTCCTTAAATCACACTTCAATATTATTCGGGCAGCTCTATTTTGTACACGTTGTAGTTTATTTAGCATCTCTCCAGGGGCATTTGACCAGACGACTGGGCAGTAATCCATTTGAGAAAAAATCAATGATTGGATTATCATTTTAAGAATATGTGGGGACATAAAGGTTGCATGTCTTCTTATGACTGGGATTCCTCTACCCATCTTTGCAATCATGTTATTAATATGTTTTCTCCATAATAACGTGTTATCCACCGTCACTCCCAGAAGCTTGGACTCATGCACATTCCTTATCGAGACGTTATTGATATTAATATTCAATATATGATTACTGTTTACGTTGTAATTTGACCTCACAATCATGCTGTTAGTTTTTGCTGTATTCAATACCAGCTTATTTGCTTTCACCCATTTATCCACTCCCACTAGTTCGTTATTCATAATAATTTCTAATTCATTATTTGTTCTTGCTGATGTATATATAGTGGAATCATCTGCATACATAATTATTTTAGTTTTTTTGAGTATGTATGGTAAGTCATTAGTAAATATTGAAAATAATAAAGGACCCAGGCAGCTCCCTTGAGGTACACCACATGTTACAGTTTGTTTTTCAGAAAATGCACCATTAAAATATACCGTTTGCGACCGGTTAGTTAAATAACTGTAAAACCAAGTAAGTGCAGATTGTTCAAAACCATAGCAGGAAAGTTTTTCTAATAGTAGATGGTGGTCAATTAAATCAAAAGCAGCTGAAAAATCTAGAAACACAACTCCCACCATATCTTTTATTTCAAAACTCCTAAGCCAGTCATCAGACATACTAATTAGTGCTGTTGCTGTAGAATGAGCCTTTCTATAAGCATGTTGAGAGTGACAAATTATGTTATTAATCGACAGATAATTATTAATTTGTTCATATACTATGGTCTCTGTTATTTTTTTTAACACAGGTAGTAGACTTATCGGACGACTATTTGAGCTGGAAAAGGGCAGTTTCTTATTTTTCTGTAATGGGATTATTTTGGCTGTTTTCCAGGCTTGTGGACACACTGAAGACATAAAACTTAAGTTAATAATGTGAGTAATTACAGGAGCGATTTCATCAGCAACCAATTTGAGAAGTCTGACATCCCGTTCATCAACACCCGGTGGTTTATCTTTGCACTCTTTCAGGCAATCCTTTACCCTCTGCAAGTTAACCATTTCTAATTTAAACTTGGACCTTTTCCCTTTCATTATTTCGTTTCTTATTAATAAGTGAGATATTTCATTACTTAGGTTAGGCATATTTTCTCTTAGTTTTGCTATTTTACTAATGAAATAATTATTTAAATAATTAGCAATTTCTCTAGGTCTAGTTATGAAGCCATCGTTTGTCTCAAGAAATAATGGATGCGTTCTATTTTTCCTACCTGTCAAATCATTAACTATCTTCCACATTTTTTTGCAATCATTCCCCGCCTTCTTTACTCTATCTTCATAATAATTCTTTTTTTTCTTTTTATTTAGCTTGGTCACAGCGTTTCTTGTTTTCCTATAGAGGCACCAGTCTTCCTTATTACCAGTTATAATTGCAGTTTTTTTCATTTGGTCTCTCATTTTCATAGCTTCTTTCATTTCTTTGTCCAGCCATGGTGTTTTCAATGTTCTGACGGTAAACGTTCTCAAAGGTGCATGTTTCTCAATCACAGGTAGAAATAAATCATCAAACTTTGACAGTGCAAGCTCAGGATTTCTTTCAGTCAACACTTTAGACCAACATATTTCTCTCACATTGTCAACAAAAGAATAAGGATTGAAAGATGCATATGATCTCTTAAAAATTATTGTAGGTCCTTGCCTATCTACCTTATTGTTTTTTTCTACTATAATCAGATTATGGTCACTGCTTCCAATAGGGACCGATGATATCTTGTTAACTGTTTCTGGAGAGTTTGTAAAAATGTGATCAATACATGTAGCTGTTTTAGTACCATCTTTTTTTACACATATTCTTGTTGGCTTATTCATAATTTGATCAAATCCACCTGCATTAGCTCCAATTTGTATCTTATTCTTCAGTGGACAGTTATGAGCAAACATTTCACAGATTGTGTCAAGATATTCATTGTTAGAACTTGGAGGTCTGTAACAGCAGCCTACTAGTATAGGCTTTCTGTGAGGAAAATAAACTTGTAACCATAATATTTCAATATTATATTTCATCATGTCAGTACACATTTTCACAGGTAAATGATCTTGAATGTAAAAAGCTACTCCACCACCATATTTATTTCTATCGTTTCTATAAATGTTGTAACCCTTTATATGTAATTCACTATCTTCAAAGGAGGAGTCTAAATGAGTCTCAGAAATAGCAAGTATCTTCAGCTTATGTTCTTCTAACAATTCAGCTATATCATTTGTTTTGTTTCTTAGACTGTTTATATGTGCAATAATTAGTCCACTTTTTAGTCGCTTGTGTTGGGATGTCATTGCCATATATTTTAAGAAGCAGTCCTGTAAGCATATTTCCGTTTGTTTATCCTATCTTGGGGTGCTGGTACGAGGTCGGATTATCAGTTTGTCGTGTCTGAGGTAAGCTATTTCACCCTTCTCATGGTGTTGCTGGAAAGATCAAGATAAAGTAGATCCTACTTCAAATCAGACCTTTTAATGTTAAAAGAAATTGGCATCGATACACTTAAAGAAATAATCATATCTAACCTAAATTTCAGAAAAACATACAACAGATTCTCTTTCTTTACAA